TTGACTGTTGAGGCGCCCCTCCCGGCGCTGAAGGAGCCGCCCGTCACTGAAATACCCGTTCAAAAGGGCGGCAAATGAGCGCTCGTTATAGCCGTACCTCTCGATTGTGGTATTCATTGGGTTTTGCGGTTTAATCAGTCATTAGTTGTTTAGTCTCTAATAGTGTACTAAAATTTTCTCGCATTTTATTTTTACTCATATATTGTACGCTATTTAAGGGATTTAATGTTAGACTTCATTGTACAGCACTTAATGTTAATTAAGTTTATATATTTGATTTGATTTAATTATGTAATGATTTAATTGAATTTGTTGTTTATTATTTACTCTTAAATGCAATAAATCAAAGTTTGCAGTTTATGTTAATTATGAGATATCAATTGTGATTTTGTTTGTTGTTTAATACAATACTGTGTTATTTATGGAGATAATTTTATTTTAATTATAATTCAAAATTAAAAATAAGTTTAAATTGTATACAAAATTATTTTCAATTCAAGTGTATTATTCACTGTGTATATAAAAGTAATATTAAACGATGATTGCATCAGAAATGCACTATAAAAGCCGTTGACTTATAAAATATAAGTTATAAACAAGTTGTACATTATGAATTTATAAAATACCTCTACTTTCCAGTATACCGTACAGTACGGTATTACTGTAATTACGGTAGTACAATGAAATTTTTATTTTAGTATACTTTATTTAGATACCCTGGTCATTATATTATTGTTATTTATATTATATTATGAGTTTAACAAAAATATTTCATTTAATATTAGGAACATTTAATTAAGAATAAAACATGTAATATTTTTCATAAAATAAAATAAAATGCTTGACAACTATCTCGTGTTATGTCACAATGATATGAATCATACCTTATTTACCTAAATATTGTGGCAAATATTTTTAAAATATACGACAGGATACTCTTATACCTTGAAATTTACATAAATATTATTTACATTTCTGTCAAAAGTTTCTTTTTTACAAAAAAAATAACAGAATTTGCTATTATTTCAAATCCAATATGTTTTTCATAATTAGTTTGCTTTTCTACGAAAACACATTTGCACCTTAAATATTGTGTGACAATAAAATAATATTACTGTTTATAAACAGTATTATATAATAACAATCATCATAAACACTTTGCTAACATAATTACAATATGAGTTTACTTTTTACGGTTAACTATTTTCCAAACAACAGTATGAATTGGATTTTTATATCTGGTCTAGTAATTATTGCTAGCTTATTAATTAAATGGTACAAGGCGTTGGTTGAGTATAGCTACATAAAAGCAATGGTGGCTAATATACCGGGTCCACCAGCGAGGTATACGCTTCTTGGTAACTTGGATATGATCTGGAACAATTGCAATGTTGAACAAAATCGTGAGTAATTTTTAAAATTTATAGATACAGTACTATGTTTACTAATTTTAAATCTATTACAAAAGCTGCTGACTATTTCTTCAAATCAATGGCTCACTTATATAGAAAGGAAGGCATATTTAAGTGTAGGAATGCCAATAGAGTTATGGTTTTAATATTCAATCAAGACTTAGCACAGGTATGCTATTCGTTGCGATTATTTTTTTAAATATAAATAAGATTTTTTTCAAATTCAATAGGATTTTCTCAAATGCAATGTCAATATCGAGAAGGCATTTGAATATCAATTACTGTATGACTGGTTGGGAAAGGGTTTGCTTATCAACGACTCGGCCCACCTATGGAGGGAACGCCGAAAACTACTGACCCCTGCCTTCCATCAGAAAATTCTCACAGAATTTGTGCCCATTTTTAACGAGAAGACCGATATTCTGATGAAATGTTTGGCCGATTGTGTGGACATAAAGGGTATAAACATTTGTGATCTCGTGTTCCCCACAGCACTCGACATCATAACCGGTATTTCATATAAATACTAAACATATCATGAATTAGAAAAGTATAATAATTTTGTAATTCAAACCCCAGAGTCAGGATACCACTGCCCTAAGCCTGTCCTGGACACTTTACTTTATTGGTATACTTTTGAGCATTTAATAGTTATCTAAGATAACTTATCCTTATAAAATGATTTTTAGATATTATAATATAAATTATCTTAATATAAACATTTGTGATCTCGTGTTCCCCACAGCACTCGACATCATAACCGGTATTTCATATAAATACTAAACATATCATGAATTAGAAAAGTATAATAATTTTGTAATTCAAACCCCAGAGTCAGGAATGGGTATCAAAATAAATGCCCAACAAAATGAAAACCAGGACTACATTCACGCCATTCAGCAAATGGGCAAATGTCTGTTGGATCGGGTGTTTAACCCTATGTTGTGGTCAAATGTTATCTTTTATATGACATCTTCGGGCAAACAATTCAAACGTAATCTCAATATATCTCATGAATTGACTCGACGTGTGATTAATGACAGGAAAGACTATTTGCTGCAAAATAAGGGAAATGTCTGTTCAGACAGTGATTGCAAACCAAGTAAACGCAAGAGATTAGCATTTCTGGACCTATTATTAGAGAATCATTTCAATGATAATTCACTGACTCTGGAGGACATCC